TGTGTGTGTGTGTGTGTATGTATGTATGTGGGGGGGGAACCTCTGCATTAGTTTCTCTCTCATCACCCACAGTAAAACAATGAGCTGAATCTGAACCAGGTGACTTGGTCATTTAGCCACTGACCTGTATAACGAGCGGTTTGAGCTGGTTGAGTTCAGGTCCTTCCAGGATGGATCCAAAGGCCATGATAGAGGCATCACGGTAGCGCCAGTCAGGGTGTTCGATGTGTTCTTTGATGAAGGGCAGAACGTGTGGAACCACGTCGTCCTCACAGCAGGTCGCCAGCAGCATCAGACACACACCTGCCGCCTTGCAAGGGTTCCAGTCATCATCATCATCATTCTCATCCTGCGAAAAAAAACACACCAGTCAAATCTGTTGAAGAACTTTCCCACAGGAACTAACCAAGTCAAGTAATGAGGTCACGTCATCAGGTACCTGTTTGGTGAGGGTCTGAGTGAGGATGGGAACCAGGTACTGCAGGGCCCCTTTAGCATAGAATTTACTGGTGTGCTCAGGAGGGCGCCCCTGCTCCGAGGCCTGTCATTGGATGAGAACAAACTGCCGTCAGAGAGGTTTTAACTATCAGGGACTGAACAACTAAGGAAACGACGGCTGCTCACACTGACCTCTGACGCCTCGATGGCGAGGTCCATCTCCTCGTCACAGACGTTGGACCAGAACTCAATGCCCTGTAACGCCACCTCATCGATGTCGCTCTTCATCGCCTCAATGGTGATCTGAGAAAGAGAAGTGAAAGAAAACAAAGTTTGTCTATTTCCAGTCACTGACTGTCACGTTCCACCTCTTGACCTGTGTTCTTACCGCAAACAGGGCTGGGCCCATGTATGTCTCCATGTACTGGTAATACAGAGACATGATCTTCACCAGGTTCTGTAAGGCCGCCACACGCACCTGAAAGAAAAACACACTCATCAGAAGTGTTGGCGTGTGGCTCGACACAAACACTCATCTGTCCCAACGTTACTCACTCTGGTATCCGGACACTGCGTAGCTTCACACACCACCTGCATGATGAAGTGTCTCTCTGTCTGAAAACAAACATTTATAAATGAAGATTAGCTCAAACTGTAGATTTGTTACAGCCTAATATTTCATTATATTATCAATATTGTAATATTTAAATCTATGATGTTCCCACATACAAAGGTCCTGCAGGTTAAAATAAAGAGCATTTTATTTTGAAAAACCATGTACCTCCTTGTCAAAGTTGGCTTTGGTGAACTCCAGAGAGTTGAGCAGAGCGTTGGTCGCTGCCAGTTTGACGTTGTTGCTGGGCTCCTCCTTCCTCATGCCCTGGATGATGGCTGTCAGGATCTGGTTGGCGTTTTCCTGCAGCTGCTCTGGGTCCTGAAGGCAGCACAGGGAGAGTGAGTGTCGGTAATTATGTAAAATGTGAGTGCGTTTGTACGTCTATGTATTTGGTGTATGTTATGTGTGTGATCACTCACAATGTCCTGACAGATGTATCCAATGGCCTCCAGAGTTGACTCCTTCATGTGTTCAGTGCTCGACGGGTCAGTGACGTTGGCGACTAGCTGTGGAATGAGCTCGGGCCAGTGGTTCACAGGAATCTCTGCACAGGCGATCCCAGCGACGCACTGCGACGCCGAGCTGGGCCGGTACGTCTCCGTGCCCAGAGTCTGTAAAACCTGAGAGACACGATCGGACCGATGAGATGACGGACGTTACATGAATGAAGCTCGGGAGAAAAGTGCCAGGATCCTTACGTAGTTCTTGATCTCGCGGCGAGCATTGGCGTCGATGGCCAGCCATCTCTGCTGGTACCGCGTCTTAACATCTGGGTCCTTGGAAGTCAGAGAGTTCTTCACCTGCAGACCGGCAGCGACTCGTGCCACCTGGGTGTTCCCCGGGTTTGCTAACACCTTCGACAACTCCACCAGGAATGTGGTCTGAGGGCAGAGCGAGGTGGTTACCTTTTGGTCGTTGAGTCGACTTCCAGTGGTTAACGCAAAGTGTTGCTAACAATATTAATCATTGTGATCCTCTTTTGTAGTATTTTATATAACTAAGCAACCAACTGTAGAGTAGACGTCAATCTACTTCCTTTTTGCATCACATGTGTATGTGAATCATGAAACGTGTGTTTTCATGTTCCTGAACATAAAGCTCCTCCTCCTCCGTGGTGACTGGCTGCAGACACGCCTCCATAGTTTATCACGTTGTTCAGTAAAGATTTTCATAATAAATCAGACGATGCTGCAGCTGTTGATTTTAAGTGGCACTTGTTAATACGATACAGCATCTGTAGAAAGTGTTGAGTCATGAGAGCTGGTGTGTTGGGCACCGGCTCCTACTGGATCGATCACATATTGACAACACACTCAGTAATGTTAGCCTACAGTTAGCTAGTGGCTACCTCACACTGGAGTCCACAAAGCAACAGGGGAAAGTGTGTCTGTATTTAACGTGAAAGGATTGTGATATCAGGACATACAGCTACTGTTTGAGAACGATTCCGTGTGAAGCTCCGTGCTCGACTGCCAACAAGACCCCATGACAGGCAGTGGGCCCTTCAAGTATATTTGTGAATTCAAGTTAAAGGTTCAGTGTGTGAGATTTATGATAAAGGGATCTATTAGAAGAAATTGATTATAAAATAATCCTAGTGGTGTTTTCACTCATTTGTAAGAATTGTAGTTTTCTTTACCCTAGAATAGGCCCTTTAGATTTAAATGTTTTATATTTACATTGTGAGCGGATCCTCTCTACGGAGGCCGCCATGTTTTTTCACAGTCATACAAACGCGACAAACTAAACTTTTATTTTAAACTGAAGGCTAACACAGGTTCTCTGTCAGAGGTTGGGTTATTCAGCTGCAACATGCAACTTCACCACTAAATCCTACACACTGAACCTTTAAGTCAAATTCAAACTGCTAATACAATAAATGTCAATCTTTAATTTGCCTTTGTTATCATCGATTGTCAGCTTGTGTCCTAAGAAAGAAGGTTTGGTTTCTTTTAGAAACTGGTAGGATACCCTGGTCACCACTGATGGGAGAGGTCAGAGGTCACGGATGAATGACTGACAGCTTGTGATCTGTCAGCATCTGACTTGTATTGTTTCCTGGTAACAGTGAACTGTCAATCAAACATCAGCTGGACTCTGATCAGTGATCAATAATCAGATCATTTAACCGGAAGCTGCAGCCCTGACGTCACAGTGAAGCTGCCTCCACACGGGGGGGGGGGGTGCAGCAGCTCAGCTCCACGCTGCTCGACAGTTAGCTTCCCCATCCACACTGACCGGCACCTCCACCGGAAACACACCGTATAACCCCCGTTACAGCCCCCACTCACCAGGTTCTCCACCGCCGCCTGCTCCAGAAACTTCTGAGCCGCCTCCAGTTCAATCCGATCTGCGAGAGGGGGAGAGAGAGGGGGAGAGGGGTGGTTCAGGGGAATGCTAGCACCTTAGCTGACAGCTATGGTCGGCACGCAGGCTAAAAGCAGACATGAGCCGTGAACCGGGCGCTCTCACGGCAACACGCTCGAGTTAACGCTCAGTTTCCGCTGGTGAGAGTCGGTGACTTCTCCTGAGACATCAGCGGAGACACCGGCGGCTCCGCCCGCAGCGACACGCCGAGCCCGCAACGTGCGTTTTAGCCGCCGTGAGGGAGGAGGCTGTGTCTTAGCATGCTAGCATTAGCAGGTGACAGACGAGGCAGAAATAAAGTTTCTGGAACAAAATGAATTCCGGATAAAACACCGTTAAGTTGACGTGAAGCTGGAGCAGCGGATGGACGCGGCGGCTCCACGGTAACGTGCGCCGGGACATGCGTGCGAGCAGGGGGCCGACAGTTTGAATGGTACGAGCTAACGGCTAACGAGCTAGCGAAGCGGCTACTTCAGGCATGGGCAGGGTCGTTGCCGTTAACCGGCGACACCCAGCCGGCAGGTCCGCGCCCCTGGTGCAAACCCACGGTGCCGTGATGTGACAACGTGTTTACCGATCAGTTGAGCGGAGAAGCGGCTGAACTTCACCGCCAGACTGCGGTTAAAGTTCGGACAGAATGCTAAGTCAGCAGCGGTGCTTGAGGCCGTAGTGTTAGCACGGTTAGCATCCCCAGCTAACAGCCCGGTAACGAGGCATTTCCCTCCATCCAACTTTCTCCGGTTCCGAGGAGCCGCCTGAAAACCAACCGACCGAAGTCCGACCCCTGGGCCCCGGACCCGGGGCTCGGGACCCGGTGCTCGGGCGGGTCTCACCTGGAGAGACGGTTTTCTCGAGGATCGTGATGAGCTCCATTCCGACCCCGGCGCGCTCTCTTCTCTCGGACGGTGTCGGTTGCCGCGCAGCGCTCCCAGCGGGATAGTGCGTGTTCCTCGGGGCGGGTCGGTGCGGGGTGCGGGGCCAGAGGCGCGGGTTTCCCGGTGCTTCTCTCTCGGGCAGCGGAACGTTCACGGAGCAGAGACGCGTCTCGTCGCTTCGCTCGTTCACATCCTGTGTTGTCGGAGGGAAAGGGCCGCGCGCTTCTGTCCCGCGGAGGGATATCACGCACAGTGACGGCGCCGTGCTGCCTTCAAGGACTGACGGAAATGTAACACTCCGCTGCTTGAGTACTTCTCTGTACCTCACTTGAGTATTTTTACTTTATAGGACGTACATACTTGTACTCTATCACGTGTCAGTGATGCAGTACGATACTCTTTACCTGTAGAATGAGAAACACAGTGAACTATGAGCCAGTGGTTACCACTCTGAGCCAGTAAAAGTACTGTATTCTACACAAATGTCAATATAAGATGAAGGACTTAAAGAAAGGACGTGTGTTCTT